CTCCTTCCTACCCCTCCCTCTTCCTTCTTCTCCCCACCCTTCCCCCCTCTTCCTCCGTCTCCCACCTTCCCCTCTCTCTTTCTCATTCCCTCCCTCACCTCCTCCCTCCGTCCCTCTTTCTCTCTTTCTCATTCCCTCCCTCACCTCCTCCCTCCGTCCCTCCCTCTTTCTCTCTTTCTCCTATTCCCCCTTCAGTCTTTCTCTCTTTCTCATTCCCTCCCTCTTTCTCACTTTCTCATTTCCTCCCTCCCCTCCTCCCTCCGTCCCTCTCTCTCTCCACAGACACACACACATCCATTACAAGTGCTGCTCCCCAAAAAAAACTGAATGGAAATGCCCCGTTCGTAAAGTCATCGTCATTCACAAGGCCGTATCACTTAGCAGTAAACACTCGCAATGGGTTACTCTTATCGTCTGAGGCTATGAACTCCGCGAGAAAGGGAGCATAGGTGAGCGAAAGACAAAGGGGGAGAGGGAGAGAGGGAGAGGGAGAGGGGGAGGGGGAGAGGGAGAGGGAGAGGGGGAGGGGGAGAGGGAGAGAGGGAGAGGGAGAAGGAGATGGAGAGGGAGATGGAGAGGGAGAGAGAGGGAGAGACGGAGAGAGGGAGAGAGAGAGAGAGAGAGAGAGAGAGAGAGAGAGAGAGAGAGAGAGAGAGAGAGAGAGAGAGAGAGAGAGAGAGAGAGAGAGAGAGAGAGCAAGTGCAAAGGAATTCTCCCTCGTCTTAACCATAAATCGAATCAGCGGAAATATTTCAAGAATTTTATTTCCATTGCAAATAAAAACCGCAAACATCTCTCACAACGAAAATGCGTTTGCTAAAGACTGAAGAAGAAAAATCGAAAGGAGAAGAAAAAATAAATGGAGAAAATGACACCATAAGGAAAACATGTCGAAAAAAAAATCGTTAAACTGTGAAGTAAGAATGATCTTTCTTCTTCTTCTTCTTCTTCTTCTTCTCCTCTTCCATCTCCATCTCCATCTCATTTTCCATCTCCTTCTCCATTTCCTCCTCCTCCTCCATTTCCTTTTCCTCCTCCCCCATCTCCTTCTTCCAAAATGAAAAATCAACTTCCCGAACGCATGTGAAACGGGGCGGGGGAGGACCGTAGAGTTACACCGCGGCTTGTTTACTGACCTGTTTGTGGGCCTGCGGACTTTGAACCTTCCTTGCTCTGGCTTTTCACTCGAATTTAACCCTTATCGCCTCTTTATATTTTTTTTTCTATTTCATTATTATTATCATTAGTATCGTTTTGGTAATTATCGGTATTGCTTTGTATTCATTTCATCATTTTTGTGCTTGTTATTGTTTTCATTGCCATCACATATGTTCGCATATCGTTATCAAGGATGTTATCTTTATAGTATCATTATCATTTCGTTGCTTCCACTAACTGTTATCATTATTGTCATGATATGTTATTATTGTCATCATTACTTCCGTTCTCGTTGTTATCATCATTGTTATTATCATTACTATCATTATTGTATGAGCACTGCAAAGATAAAGAGCATAAGAGACTGTTGCTATTGACATTAATAATGATAGAAATTTTGATTATAGAGATAGTATTTGTAATAGTAGTGGAAGCATTATTATAATGGAGAATATAATCACAGTTATGGTACTGATTATGAGTAAGTAATGATTATAAAATGAAAAAGTTAACAGTGATATAAACACACAGACAGACACAGACACACAGACACACACACACACACACACACACACACACACATACACACACACACACACACACACACACACACACACAAACTACATTTCTCGCACTGAAATACAATCAATAAACCCTCTCTTTGCTCAAACCCCCCTCCCCCCCACCCCCCCAAAAAAAATTAAATAAATAAAACAATTAAGATAAAAATCGCAGACGTCTTGCAGTTATTGCCCTTAAAAGCAACTCCACGTGATTTCTCTCGTTATAGTTACGGCTGCCGTCACCAACAGTCCATTAGGACGCCACTCCCATTTAACGATACCGTAAATGTCGACCATTTTTGTCTGGCGGGCTCGCGTGCTCCCGGCCGTCGTCGTGTGACCTTCGAATTTCGTCGTTAAAGTACGTGTCTCGCTTTTTTCTTCTTCTTCTTTCTACTCTCTCTCTCTTTCTCTTTCTCTTTCTCTCTCTCTCTCTCTCTCTCTCTCTCTCTCTCTCTCTCTCTCTCTCCCTCCCTCTCCCTCTCTCCCTCTCTCTCCCTCTCCCTCTCTCTCCCTCTCTCTCTCTCTCCCTCTCTCTCTCTTTCCCTCTCTCTCTCTTTCCCTCTCTCTCTTTTTCCCTCTCTCTCTCCTTCCCTCTCTCTCTCTTTCCCTCTCTCTCTCTTTCCCTCTCTCTCTCTTCCCCTCTCTCTCTCTTTCCCTCCCTCCCTCTCTCCCTCTCCCATTCCTCTCCCTCTCTCTTTCTCCCTCTCCAACTCTAATTCTCTCACTCTCACTCCAACTCCAACTCTCACTTTTTCCAACACTCTTACTAAAGTTTGACGTAAAAGTTATAATGATAGTAATGCGAAATATGTGCCAAAAATGCAGGACTTGTTGGTACAACTTGGAAACCGCTTATTTTATTCGGATAAGC